AAGGTCATAACCTATGGGTCCAGACAGTTGAAGAGTCACGAAAAAAACTGCCCCACCCATGACTTAGAACTTGCGACGATTATTCACGTCTTGAAGACTTGCACCATTATTTATATGGGGAGACTTTCAGATCTATACCAACCATAAGAGCTTGAAACACATACTCACTAAAAATAATCTCAACATGCATCAGAAACGATGGATAGAACTTCTTAAGGACTACGATTGTAACATTTTATATACGGATAAGGACAACGTGGTAGCCAACGCACTCAGCAGAAAGAGTGCAGGTATGTTAGCTCACCTAATAGTTTCAGAATGCAGGGTAATAGGGACCACACAACATGTATGACTTCAGGACCTGAAGAGAGTTACATATTTGACCCACCTGACTGTTCAACCTGAGTTGATCCAGAGAATAAAGGAAACCAAGTCCACCGATTCCACACTAGCAGCTATCAAAAAAGATACAAAATATGGAGTAAATTAAGAATCTCGAGTCTCTGCCGATGGGTTACTCAGATTTCATGACAGAGTGTGTGTTGCATATGACAGTGAGTTGAAAAGAGACATCATGATAGAGGTTCATAGCTCAAAGTGCATCCTGGAAGCACTAAAATGTATCAAAATATGTGACCCCGATTTTGGTAGAATGAGATGAAAGAGAGGTGACCGACTTTGTTTCCAAGTGTCTAGTGTGTCAACATATCAAAACAGAGCATCAACATCTAAGCAGGCTAATTCGGCCATTACCGATTCTGGAGTGAAAGTTGAAACACATCACAATAGATTTCGTGACAAGATTGCCTAGGGCACGCTCAAAACATGATGCCATTTAGGTAATTATTGACCGGCTCACCAAGTTTTCTCATTTCTTGGCTATCAAGATGATCGACCCCTTAGACAAGATAGTAAGAATGAATATCCGGGAGATTGTCAAATTACATAGAGTGGCAGTGACAGTAGTATCTGATAGGGACTGCAAGTCCATTTCTCGATTCTAGTCTAGTTTTTAGCAAGACATAAGAACGAAACTGTCTTTTAGTACCGTATTCCACTCTCAGACCGATAGACAATCAGAAAGGACAATTTGTACACTAGATGATATGCTTCAAGCTTATGTTCTTGACTTTGGAGGCCATTGAGATGATCATTTACTCTTAATAGAATTTGCCTATAATAATAGTTACCAAACAAGTATCGACATGGCTTCATACAATGCGTTATATGGCCGCCCATACAGATCACCGATCTATTGGGAAAAGGTGTGTGATAGAAAATTATTCGGCTTAAATCTTGTGGAGGAGACTACAACCAAAATAGTTAAAATCAGGAAGAACATCTAGACGGCTCAGAATAAGCAGAAGAGCTATGCGGACACCGGGACGATGACTTGGAATTTGAGAAAAGTGATCTAGTGTTCCTTAAAGTCACCCATTTCAAGGGAATCAGTAGTTTGGCAAGAGAGAGAAACTAAATCCTCCGCTTTATTGGACCATTTGAGATCTTAGACAAAATTGGTACCGCGCCTACAGACTGACACTACCTCCAAATTATCC